ATATACTGTGGTTTTGGACACCCTGTTGGTCGTTTGTTCTACTCTGACGTGTTGTCTTCCTCTTCTCTCGTAAATTTGATCCTGGTGAAAATGTTGTTGATGTGATGGTGTGTCTCTTCTAACTTGCTGCGTTTAATGACGACAAATGTGTCACCCATGTATCGGATTGACAGTTTTGGCTGGAAGACGGGGAGCGTAGTGCGTTCCAGTCAGGGTTAGGGTAGAACAAATTTGAGAATAGCTACAGGAGATGTCTGAGCTACCTTCTTACCTTTCCTGACAATCAACCATCTATCTGACTGATTCTGCTGTGTCAGAGATAGTAGGAACTGCAGATGCTGGAGAATCTGAGATAACAAGGTGTAGAGCTGGATGAACACAGCAGGCCAAGCAGCATCATAGGAGCAGGAAGGCTGACGTTTCGGGCCTAGACCCTTCATCAGAATGTTCATCAAACTTTTTTGAACTTAATGTTATAACAAGTAGATATTTTGACATATGACAATAGAGACTTTTCTGTCATGTTAGTATATACTGCAGGAGGAGCCAATGGAGAGCTTGAATTTTTCAATCATTGGGGGAAAAATATTGCATTCACACTCATTCATTTATCCAGACTGTCTTATTTTTCAATGTGAGATACGAATAATCTTTTTATTACATGTAAGGCATCTCAAATCTTCAGCTTTAAATTCAGATAAGAAACCTGATGTATTTTAATATGTTACTTACCATAATGCATCATGTCTGTTTCTCATAATAATGCTGAAATACAATAAGCAAAAATAAACATTGAATTGGACATTGACCAGAGTTCTCTGAGATGAAAGCAACTCTTTTTGTCAAATTGCAAAATTAATTTTATTGTTCTCTTTCTGCTTCTATCTGAAGAAAATTATATGCAGTTTCCACTGGCTTAGTAGCTGCAAGGATGGAGCTGTCTCCTGATTTTGTGCTCCTGGCTTAGTGGATTTAATTATTGTTTCCTAAATTTTCTATTCTGTTATCAATTTTTATTTGTCAATTATGGGTTTATGGAACTATAGATTTTGCAACTATACTGTCACACTAATAGCATATTATTTGATTTTTGTATCATTACAGTCGTTGTTGTTACAGTTCTTTGGATCTCCGATAACCCAGACAGAAGAGCAAATTTGCTGCAATGTCATTTCAATTTAAAGTTTTTGACCTGTGGATTAGAGTGCACCAAATACACTGCTGAGGCATGGATTAGGGCTTCATGGTGCTATTGGGGGAAAAAGAAACAAATTTCCATTTTGTAATGATACAAAAATCAAATAATATGCTATTAGTGTGACGGTATAGTTGCAAAATCTATAGTTGTTTCTATGAAACCCATTCAGGATTTGAATACTGAAGGCTCAGACTTTTGTTTTAAGATTTTTATCCTCTGGGAGAAGGAAACCGCAGATGTTTTTGATGTAGCATTCCAAACTTATAGAACATAGAACAGTACAGCACAGTACAGGCCCTTCGGCCCACGATGTTGTGCCGAACTTTTACCCTAAATCTAAGGTCTATCTAACCTCCACCGCTACCTTATACTATCATCCATATGCCTATCTAATAGCTGCTTAAATGCCCCTAATGAGGCCGACTCCACTACCCTCTCCGGCAATGCATTTCACGCCCCTACCATTCTGAGTAAAGAACTTACCTCTGACGTCTCCCCGATATCTACCTCCTTTCACTTTAAAACTATGTCCCCTCCACCCTAGGGAAAATGTCTCTGGCTGTCTACTCTATCTATACCTCTGATCGTTTTGTACACCTCTATCAAGTCACTTCTCGTCCTTCGTCGTTCTAAAGAGAAAAGCCCTAGCTCTCTCAACCTTTCCTCGTAAGACCTTCCCTCCATTCCAGGCAACATCCTGGTAAATCTCCTCTGCACCTTTTCGAACGCTTCCACATCTTTCCTGTAATGAGGTGACCAGAACTGGACAAAATACTCCAGATGTGGCCGAACCAGGCTTTTGTATAGCTGGAGCATAACTTCACGGCTCTTGAACTCAATCCCTCTATTAATGAAAGCTAACACACCATACGCCTTCTTAACAACTCTATCCACCTGGGTGGCAGCTCTCCGAGAACTGTGAACATGAACCCCAAGATCCCTCTGCTCCTTCACACTGCCAAGAATCTTTTCGTTAACCCTGTATTCTGCTTTCAAGTTTGTCCTTCCAAAATGAATCACCTCACACTTTTCAGGGTTAAACTCCATCTGCCACTTCTCAGCCCAGCTGTGCATTCTATCAATGTCCCTTTGTAACCTAGAACAGCCCTCCGCACTGTCCACAACGTGACCCACCTTCGTATCGTCCACGAACTTGCTAATCCACCCTTCCACTCCTTCATCCAAATCATTTACAAAAATCACAAATAGAAGAGGACCCAGAACAGATCCTTGTGGTACACCACTCGTAACTGAGCACCATGTTGAATATTTTCCATCCACTACCACCCTTTGTCTTCCAAGGGTCAGCCAATTCTGAATCCAATCTGCCACATTTTCCCCCTATCCCATGCCTCCTTACCTTCTGCATGAGCCTACCATGGGGAACCTTATCAAATGCCTTACTTAAATCCATGTATACCACATCCACTGCTCCACCTTCATCCACGTATTTGGTCATCTCTTTAAAGAATTCAATAAGGTTTGTGAGGCATGATCTACCCCTCACAAATCCATGCTGACTATCACGAATCAAACTGTGCCTTTCCAAGTGATCATAAATCCTGTCTCTCAGAGCCCTTTCCAATAATTTGCCCACCACTGACGTAAGACTAACTGGCCTGTGATTTCCGGGGTTATCCCTGTTCCCATTTTTGAACAAGGGAATGACATTTGCCTCTTTCCAATCTTCCGGCGCTATACCCGTGGACAGTGAGGACGAAAAGATCATCGCCAAAGGCCCTGCGATCTCGTCCCTCGCTTCCCATAGAATCCTTGGATAAATCCCATCAGGCCCCGGAGACTTATCTATCTTCAACTTCCTCAGAATTCTTAGCACATCATCTTTACTAACATCAACCTCCTCTAGCCTGTTTCACAACATCCTCCTCTATAAGTAGGTCCCTATAAAAAAAACGCTGGTTCGGCCACAGCTAGAGTATTGTGTACCTTTCTGGAATCTACATTATAGGAAGGATGTGTTGCCCTGGAGAGTTTGCAGAGGAAATTTAAACTAGGATGTTGCCTAGCCTGGAGAGTTTTATTTATGATGACAAATTGGATAGCCTGGGAGATAGCAGGAACTGCTGATGCTCGAGTCTGAGATAACAAAGTGTGGAGCTGGATGAAGACATCAGGCAGGCAGCATCAGAGGAGCAGGAAAGCTGACGTTTCAGAGCTGGACCCTTCTTCAGAAATGGGTCCAGACCTGAAACGTCAGCTTTCCTGCTCCTCTGATGCTGCCTGGCCTACTGTGTTGATCCAGCTCCACACCTTGTTATCTTGGATAGGCTGGGGTTGTTTTCTTGGAGCAGACTGAATTAACAGTCTATCTGTCTACTCCTTAAATTACTCAATGTCCCAGCATCCACTGCACTCTGATTGTGAATTTGTGGAATTCACAATCGTACTTGGAGAGAAGTAATTTCTCCACACCTGTTTTAAATTTGCTGCCCTTAGCTTACAACTATGACCTCTTGTTCTAGATTGCCCCACGCAAGGAAACATTCCTTCTACCTTGCCAATCCCTTTAGCATGTTGTTTACCTCAATTAAATCTCGTTTCATTCTTCTAAACTCCAGAGTGTATAGGCCTAAACTGCTCAATCTCTCATCATAAGAAAAACCTCTCATCTCTGGAATCAATCTAGTGAACCAGCCTCCCCTGTAATTACATCCTTCCTCATGTAAGTAACAAAATTGTACACAATACTCCAAGTGTGGCCTCAGTAATACCTTGCACAGTTGCAGCAAAACTTTCCTACTTTTAACCTCTGTTCTGTTAACAATTAATGCCAAAATTCCACTGCTGTACCTGCATACTAGTTTTCTTTAATTCATGCATGAAGTCACCAAGATCCTCTGCATTAAAACAGTCTGAAGTTTCCCTTCATTTAGATAATTTGCCTTTCCATTCCTATGGTCAAAAATGGATATTGGCCCATTCATCTATCAATATCCATTTGTAAATTTCTTATTTCTTCTTGCAACTTACATTCCCACCCATTTTATTGTTATCTGCAAATTTGGCTATATTACTTTCTATCCCTGCATCCAAGTCAATAAGAGAGATTATAAATAGTTTGCACCTGAGGATCAAAGCCTGTGGCACCCCACTAGTTACATCTTGCCAACCAGAAAATGACTCATTTATCCTGATGCTCTGCTTTCTGTTGGTTAGCTAATGCTGTATCCATGCTTATAAATTATCCCTCACTCCATGTGATCTTACCTTAGTGTTAACCATTTGTTCTAGAAGTTGACATACATTACATCTTCCAGGATCCCCATTATCCATAATGCTTATTAAATCTTCAACGAATCCTATCAAATCAGTCAAACATGATTTTATCCCTTGTCAATCCATCGGAATAAATGTTTTTAGTTACACTTTACAAATGTCTGATTATTAATTGGTAATGGATTCTAACAATTGCCCAACGCGTGTTAAACCAACTGGTCTGTAATTTCCTACTTTCTGCCTCCTCTTTTTGAATAAGGGTGTTATACTAACATTAGGTCTTTATTGGATTGTTATTTATGGAATAAAGATTTTAACACAATCATGAACATTTTGCAACTTGAACAAATTAACACCCTGTCCCCAGTCATCCAGCAGTATTGATACCTGTCCTTCTGGCGATATTCCTGGAGAATACTTTGCACACTGAAGTTAATAGGGAAATAATGTACCATTGTGTTGTGCTCCAGTGAGTTATTTATTTAGTTCAAGTTTACTTTGCCTGATTTTTTTTAAAATCAGTCATATTTATGTGCTGTTTCTGATAATTGATTGTGTTTTTCAGGGTGTGGTTAATACGGAAAATATTGATTTGGCTCTTTTGCAAAAGAACTGAAAGAAACAGTAAGTTTTTAAGTATCTCTTTTTTTAACTACGTTTTCTTATACACTTCGTCTTTTTTTCATTACATTTACTGCTAGTTATTTTTCAAAACCACAAGACTTCTAACTCTTAAAACTTTATTGCAGGTGAAGCTCTAGAAGATTTAAAAGTACAAAAAAAGAAAATTGTGAGTAATATTTTGAAACTTTTCTATTTCTGCTCCTTCGTTTAAAACTATTTCACTTAGAGGCATCTCCTGTTCTAGTTACTAATTTACTGGCTATTTAAGTGCGCATCCAAGTAGCATTTGTCCATTGGTTTTAATATATTTTTCCTGTATTTTCTTCACTAATTGTAACCGAAACAAAATGTTCTGGTGTGTAAATGAAATAAATGTTAAACATTTTAGTTGTTTGCCAATACTGGTAAACATGCAACAGTGTTCTTTCTTTCTTATTTTAATCCAACCAATTCAAATTTTGGTATAGGACACAGGTTTACAGTTTGAGCCATTGCACAGTCGCTTTTGTCTGCTTGAAAGCTTGCCTAGACTTGAACAGAAGCTGCCATGTTTACAAAGCTGATAATTGACATGCTGTCGTGCATTAGTTATCTTGAGGGTATCTTCAACCATGACTGTCCACAAAGAAAACAATAAATCAATTTGGCTAAAGCAAGACAAGTGAAAAAAGTGACTGACAGAAAAGATACTCCATCTGACTTTTTTTTTGCAGCTTTTAGTAAAAAAGCAAACACAAATGAGAAGTGCGATTTAAAAATAGTTTAAACCTTTCTTTTGAAGATGAATACTTCTTGCGATTATTGCCTGAGTAAAGCTTAGCTTTAGTCAGGCGATAACTTGATCAGAATCAGCAATACAAGACTGTTAGCAAAGAAAATGGAAACTAGTTTAACTAAATGATTGTAGGTAGTTTATTTTGGCTGAGTGGTCATTTATATGTCATTTGTCATATAGTTTTGACAGTTCACTATTTTTAGGTGGAAGGAACGGTGAAAAAACCTGAGTATTTAAAAGTTACATAATAACTTACTTGGTCATTCAATTTGTGGTCATTTGTGTTTGCTTATTTGTGTCAACACAACAAAAATAATTGACTATTTGACGTTAGCGCAATTAATTTGTAGGATTGATTCAGTTAAGCCATTAATAATTGTTTTTGGTGACTAGTTTCTATGTCCAGTATCTCAGACGTTATTAGTTTAAATAGTTGTGCCAAAATTATAGATACTTAGCTGACATTGCACAGTTTGACTTTTGTTCCGTGTAGTACCTCGAATGTATATCATAAAAGTTTAGAATGGTTAAACGTAAGACTCAGTTATTCGTAAACTGAACTTTTTACTAAAGAAACCTAAGTTCACAGCAAATTTTCATTTATGGGATTAATATAATTTCTGTTGATTTTCAGAGCCATATATGATAGAATTTTTCCACTCGATCCAATTGATACTGTTGGCTCAATGAGGAAGGTCACTTTCTTGCCACAACTTGCTTTCCTATCGATCTGTGTTTCATCAGCAAATTTAGCTATGATACAGTTTGTCCCTTCACCCAAGAAGTTATTTTAAATCAGAAGTAGCACAGACACCAGCAATGATCCTTGCAACACTTGATTAGTTCCAAACTGATATCATGAAAATGACCCATTTACCCACCTTCTATGACTCTCCATTTCCTGTTAGTTAGCCAGTCTTCTGTGAATGCTAGTATATAACCCCAGCACCATAGGTTGTTCTTATTGTGTGTAATAACATTTTATTTGATACCTTATCGAATGCATTTGGAAATTCAAATGCACTCCATCTACTGGTTCCCCTTTTGACTTGCCTGTTTGATACATCCTCAGGAGCTCTTAACAAATATGTGCCTTTTACAAAATTGTGCTGACTTTGTTTGATTATGTTATGATTTCCTAAATGTCTTGCTGCTATCTCTTTTATAATGGGAAAATACTATAATCCAATGATCAATGTTAGACTAACTGGCCTAATGCTTTGTGCTTTCTGTCTCCCTCCTTTCTGGAACATTGAGGTTTCCTAATCACTGTCACCTTTCCAGAATTTAAAGTTGTTTTTGACAATTAAAACCAATGCATCTACAATGCTTGCAATCACTTCTTTTTAAGACCAATGCTACAATTCATCCGGTCCGAGTGATTTGTCAACCTTTATTAAAAGAGAAATAGTTACGAGGGCTTATTTTAAGTTCTTCCCTCCTTCTTCTGCTTTTTGATTTTTTTATTGTTACGCTTGGTTTTTTTTGTGTCATCTTCTGTAAGACAGATGCCAAATGCTTGTTTAAACCCTCTTGACCTTTCTATGTTTCCCATTTTTAATTCCCCTTGGTACCTAAGGACCAATGCTTACTTAAGCTGCTTATTTCCTTGTTATCTACATGTCGAAGATTTCACTACCTGTTTTTATACATCTTGCAAGTTTTCTCATGAATTCTAATTTCTTCCTGTTTGTTCTTTTAGTCATCTAAGGTTTTGGAGTCAGTTTGTGTTGAGGTTGGTTGGCTCGCTGAGCTGGTTTCTTGTTTCGCAGACATTCGTTACCATGCTTGGTAACATCCTCAGTGCCGCCTCCGATGAAGTGTCGGTGTGTTTTCCCACCTGGTTTTTAAACTTGTGGGTCCGTTGTGATGGATTGCCTCACTTCCGGTTTTAATTCGTAGTGGAATGTATATGGGGTCGAGTTCAATGTGTTTATTAATAGCATGCTTCGTGGAGTGCCATGCTTCTAGGAAATCTCGTGCCTGTCTCTGCCTAGCCTGTCCCAGGATCTTGGTGTTGTACCAGTCGAAGTTTTGGTTCTCCTTGTCCATGTGGATTGAGATCATCCTTTGCTGGTTTCTAAGACTTTAGTAGGAGACCAGAAGATTAAGATTAATCTTTGCAGGGCCTTTTCTTTCAGTTTTTTGTACCACTTTTAATTTCCATAGTTTGCCTCACATTGTGCATTCTTCCTGTAGACTTTCTTTCTCATTACAGTGTTTTTTGAATATTAAGATTATCTCTTAAGTGACTGCCGCTACTTCTCTACTGTCTTGTCTCTTAACCTATTTACCCAGCCCACTTCAGCCAACTCTGTCTTTATATGCTTGCAATTGGCTATATTTAAGTTTAGGACACTAATTAGGCTGACGTTTCTCACTCTCAAACTGAATTGAAATTGCATTATCATCACTCTTGCTTGTTTAGAGGATCCTTTACTGTAAGTTATTTAATTAATCTTGACTCATTGCCCAATACCAGGTCTAAAGTAGGTCCCAGAATCTGTTACAAATGTGTGAATTAGGAGCAGCGATAGACCATTCAGCCCATCAAGCATATGAAGCTGTTTAATAAGATTAAACCTGATCTGCTTGTGTTTTGAATTCCATTTTCCTATCTACCACCTATTTTTGATTCCCTTGCCTAATGAATATCTATCGATGTCTACTTGTAAAAACGTTCAGTGACACCACATTGAGACAAAAATTTACAAATTGTCTCCGCATTCTGAGAGAAAAAAATATTTTCATCTCTCCTGTAAAGGATGTTCCCTAGTTCTGGATTTCATTTCCATGTCCATTTTGTCAAGAACACTCATGATTTTATATATTTTGTTCAAGTGAGTACTCGCTCTTCTAAATTCCAGTGGGAGCAAGCCCATTCTGCCTGACCTCATGTAATGAGACAACCTGTTCATTCCAGGTATCAGTCTAATAAACTACCTCTAAATGTTATGGAGTTTGTTCATTCTTCCTTAAATTAGGAGACCAAAATGGCCCACAATATTTCAGATGTAGTCTAACCAACGCCTTGTATAATGGAGGCATAATATTCTTGACTTTGTTTAATTCCTCTCATAATAAAGGGCAACATTTCATTAGCCACCTTAATTGCTTGCTGTGCCCCCATAATAGTGTTTTGTGATTCATGCGATAGAACACCTTGATCTCTCTTGGAATTCTGCAGTCATTCTCTGTTTAGATAATAGACTATACATGTTTATTTTTCCTGCCAAAGTTGACAATTTTACATTTTCTCACATTAAACTCCATCTGCCAGATGTTTGCCGACTCTTAACAGCATACTTTCCTTCCTAGTTTTGTGTCATCTGCAAGTTTGGCTACTTGCCTTTTCTCCCTTCATGTAATTCATTGATACAAGTTGTGATAAGTTGAGGTGACAGTGCTGTTCTGAGAAACTGTCATCTTGCAGATTGCTTTTGCTAATTTGATTTGTCCCATTGATGTGAAGATTAAAATCTTCCATGATCATTACTGTAGCTTTCTTATGTAGGTGCAAATTACTGCGGATGCTGTACTGAAAACAACAAATGCTGGAGATCACAGCGGGTCAGGCAGCATGCATGGGGAGAGAGCAAGATAGCGTTTCGAGTCTGGATGACTCTTCATCTAGACTTGAAACGTTAGCTTGCTCTCTCCCCATGGATGCTGCCTGACCTGCTGTTATCTCCAGCATTTGTTGTTTTCAGTTGAGCTCATTCCTCATTCTTGTACTGAGCTTAAGCTTTGTTAGTAAAGCTACCAACCTCCTTTTCCTTTCCTTTTGACCTCCTGAAATGTCCTATACGCTTGAGCACTTAGGTGACAGCCATACTAGCCTTGCACCCGTGTCCCTGTAATGGTAATCAATTTATTTTTATTTCTGTTATCCATTCATCCATCTTGCTATAAATATCACTCTCTTTTTGTTTTGCCTTTTTTGTATAATCTGACCTTATTTGCTGTTGTACATTTCTGTTTGTATGGTCTGTCCCTTCCCATTACACTTTGGTTATTATTACTTAGTACATTACCTTAGACTGTTGCCTTGTCCTTTCTGTTTAGTTGTCTCTGTCCCCTATTAATAAGACACTGGTCCCAGCACAGCTCAAATGAAGGCTGTCTCAATGGTACAGCTCCTTCTTTCTCCATTGCCGGTGTTAGAACCTCTCGATTCTTACCTTCCTTTCCCACTCCAAGTTTCTCTTTATCGTCCTGAGCTGTGTCTTTAACCCTGGCACTAGGTAGGGAAATGATATTCGGAACTCAAGACAATCCCCGCTATAGAGAATTATATCTATTCCTGGAATTGTGTTGTCACTTATTGCTAATCAAGCCACAAGACATAGGAGCAGAAGTAGGCCATTTAGCCTATTGAGTCTGTTCTGCCA